TGCAACTCCTACAGCGTCGTTGCGCTGGAGGGCTATGACAACCGCATCCTGCTGGTGGCCAAGACAGCAGAAACTTCCGGAATCCTGCTGAACCAGAGGCCGTTAGGGAATGTGGTATGGGAGMGGATCCCTGGGACAGAATACTCCTGGGTTGGGTTAAATCTGGGAAGCGGATTTGGGATCCATCGTGTGGAGCACGCGACAGTGGCATTTGGGGCGTGGAATGTCGGGATGGGACAGGGGAAGCGCTACGGAGCAGAGGGAGCCTGCAACAGTGGTGAGTGGAGGTGGACTTTGATATTAATAAATGATCTACAGTTGTATAGATATCAATAACACATTATTAATATGTGTTTGAGAAAAGTCTAGTGAGGTTTCAAAAAATATGACAATTTTACAGTTTTCTTGCGTTTTGAACCCAGAGCATCGTGGACAGCAGCTTGGGCAAAGCAGATGTGCTGTTGTGTGATATTATTTTTAATAATAGTATTAAAATTATGAAGTTATTAAATTTAAATTATTAAAGTATTAAAAATTTCTAAATTATTAAAAATAATACTATTATACAAACATATAGGAATAATACTAAAAAAACCCCAAAATGTAATAAAAAAATTAATAAGAATCAATGGAGAAATACATTAAATAATTTTAAAAAAATCACTATCTACAAATACATAATAAATAGTAAATATATAAATATTAGAGTGAAATATTATAGATATATAACACGTCTGTGATAAATTTATATTTATACATTCTTTAGAATAATATGAATTTATTGTATTGATAATAATTCTATGTGATAGAAATACACAAGCAATATGGGGATAAATAATTCATTTATAAACAATATAGAAATAATATATAGGTATTTATAATTAATGTAGAAAAATGTATGTGTGATTACAAATTAGATACAAAAAAATGCATGCCATATAAATAAATATATACCTAGACATATTAATAACGTAATCAATTAATATAATTTAATCCCCTGGATTAACAAACCCCCAGACCCCTGCCGGCAGGCACAGTGCCGCCCCAAGGAGACCTGTCACCTGGACAAGGGTGCTCCCGCCTGCCGCCACGACTACCTGGGCACGTGCACGGGCTCCCCGTCCCTGCAGTACCACACCTTCGACGGGGCCTCCGTGTCCTCCCGCGGCGGCTGCAGGTACACCTTGGCCAGGTCCTGCGGGGCCGACCCCACCCTGGAGCCCTTCACCGTGGAGGAGCAGCGGAGCCGGGAT